GGCACTCACTATATGACTCTGCGTCCTTCCACTGCTCCACAGCGTATCCCTCTGCCGTCTCCTCCTGCGTCCTCTCTTCCTGACGGTCCGGACCCGGAGTCCGACTCTCTTCGTGCTGCCAGTCCTACTGTCACGCGTTTCCTCGCCACTGTTGTCACTGACCCTACCTTTGAGTCATCTGCTGCGTCTGCTCTAGTCACTGAGTTGGTTGACTTTGCTGCCGCCTGTCGTCTAGACTACGCCGCTAGCCTTGTTGCTGAGTCTGAGTCTGTCTGTCCTCCGTCCGTCGGGGGTGAGTGTGCTCTTGGCACGGACGTCCTTGAGGACAGACAGGAGGAGTTTGAATGCTTTGCCGCTGCTTTACCTCATCTCGTGTCCATGCTGATTGCCCCTGAGGGAGACCCAGATGCACCAGACATCCCGACCCCGCGCTCTTACGCAGAGGCGATAGAGGGTCCCTACTCCTCTCAGTGGCAGACAGCCATGGACGCCGAGATGGCTTCCTGGAAGTCCACAGGCACCTACGTCGACGAGGTTCCCCCACCTGGGGCGAACATCGTCAGTGGCATGTGGATTTTCAGGGTGAAGCGGCCGCCGGGTTCTCCGCCTGTCTTCAAGGCGCGTTACGTTGCACGAGGCTTCAGTCAGCGAGAGGGAGTTGACTTCTTCCAGACCTTCTCCCCGACCCCGAAGATGACCACTCTTCGGGTTCTGCTGCACGTCGCCGCTCAGCGTGGCTACGAGCTCCACTCTCTTGACTTCAGCACAGCTTTCCTACAGGGCAGCCTTCACGAGGAGATCTGGCTGCGCCGCCCACCTGGCTTCACTGGGTCGTTCCCTGCTGGTACCCAGTGGAGCCTCCGGCGGCCAGTCTACGGTCTCCGCCAGGCACCCCGTGAGTGGCACGACACACTGAGGACTACTCTTGCTGCTCTTGGGTTTGCTCCTTCTACTGCTGACCCGTCGCTGTTTCTACGCACCGACACCACTCTGCCGCCGTTCTACGTTCTCGTGTACGTAGACGACTTGGTCTTTGCTACTGCTGACATTGAGGCACTCGCCCACGTGAAGTCGGAGCTGCAGAAGAGACACACGTGCACAGACCTGGGTGAGCTGACAAGCTATCTTGGCTTGCGGATCACCCGGGACAGAGCACAGCGCACCATCACCTTGACTCAGTCACACATGGTGCAGCAGGTCCTTCAGCGCTTCCGCTTCACGTACTCCTCGCCTCAGTCCACTCCTCTGCCTACCGGTCACTCGCTCTCAGCTCTGCCTTCGAATGAGTCCGTAGAGCCGAGTGGCCCGTATCCAGAGCTTGTGGGCTGCCTCATGTACCTGATGACCTACACTCGACCTGACCTTGCATACCCTCTTAGCATCCTAGCACGCTATGTCGCTCCTGGCCGTCACCGGAAGGAGCACATGGATGCCGCTAAGAGGGTGTTGCGCTACTTGTGTAGTATGTCGGGCATGGGGCTTGTGCTTGGAGGACGGAGCGACGTTGTCCTCACTGGGCACTCAGACGCTTCTTGGGTTGACGACCAGGCTACACAGCGGTCGTCTCAGGGTTACACCTTCAGCCTTGGCTCTGGTTCAGTTTCTTGGCATTCTACACGCTCGTCTTCAGTTCTCAGCTCCAGTTGTGAGGCTGAGATCTACGCCACAGCCATGGCTGCACAGGAGTTACACTGGCTCACCTACCTGCTGACCGACCTGGGAGAGCGGCCTCGTTCTCCTCCAGTGCTGTACGTCGACAACAAGGCCGCCATTGCCTTGTGTCAGGAGCACAGACTGGAGCACAGAACGAAGCACATCGCTCTGCGCTACTTCCTTGCTCGAGAGTTGCAGCTGCGTGGTCAGCTTCGTCTTGCTTACGTGGCCACTCGGGCCAACACTGCTGATGTGTTCACCAAGGCGCTTCAGCCTTGTGATCATCAGCGTTTCTGTACTGTTCTCGGCCTTGTGCCTACTGTGCCTCACTTGCTTACTTCTTGACTCTGGTTGTACTGTGATCTCTATATATATAAACCTGCATGCTTACACTTGCTAGGTTGTGATCACTGTACCTCTTGTTATATTATCAAACTGCATGTGAACTGGTCTTGTGACCGCTTGCTTGTGCTCGGAATTTGTGTGGTTTCCTTGAGATCCACCCTGAGCTTGCTTTGCTTTGCTTTGACTGGTCTTGTGACCATCTGGTTGTCCCCCACTTCGCCTATGAGGGTGTGTCAAACATTATTCATGTTTATATTGTGTAGGCTATAGTGGGTTTAGCCTTAGGGGATACAACATTGCTAGGGTTTCCTACTTGTATCACCCTGCTGCCTAGTTCACCCATCCTCGTTCAGTTCTACATTCTAACACAACCGACCAACGCATCATTTTCTCCGTATAAATACAGTGAATAACCATATAGGTTTCTCCATTCCTTTCAATTATACCATTCCCCACCCCCCTACGAGGTTCTAACCTTTTGTATCTATGTAATTCGCCAAATATTGGCATTCTAGTCGTGCATGGTACCTGCACTACAGGCGCGCATATCGACCAAACTGACCTGCGCATTTCTTGTGTTTGTAGAGATGCAGTTGGTACCATTTTCTTGCCAGTCCACTAGATTAGGCCATCTATTTTAACAACACTAGGTTCTAACCTTTTAGATTGACATAATTTGGGAGATTTCAGAGCTCCAGCTCCGCCTTGTACCTGCACACAAGCGTGCATACTGACCGAACCGACCCACGCATCATTTTTTCCGATTTAGGCTTTTTCTTTGAATTATACCATTTTCCACCCCCCTAGCAGGTTTTAACCTTTTGGATCTTTGTAATTCGCCAAATATAGGCATTCCCTGTCGTGCATGGTACCTGCACTACAGGCGCACATACCGACCAAACTGACCAGCGGATTACTTATGTTTGTAGAGATGCAGTTGGTACCATTTTTTTGCCAGTCCACTAGATTATGTCATCTACTTTAACAACACTAGGTTCTAACCTTTTTATATTCACATAATTTGGGAGATTTCAGAGCTCCAGCTGCGCCTTGTACCTGCACACAAGCGTGCATACTGACCGAACCGACCCATGCATCATTTTCTCCGTATAAATACAGTGAATACCATATCTATTTAGGCTTTTCCTTTGAATTATACCATTTCCCACCCCCCTACCATGTTCTAACCTTTTGGTTTTTTGTAATTCGCCCAATACAGGCATTCCAGTTGTGCATGGCCTGCACTACAGGCTCGCATACCGACCAAAGTGGCCAGCGCATTACTTATGTTTGTAGAGATGCGGTTAGTACCATTTTCTTCCCAGTCCACTAGATTAGGCCATCTACTTTAACTACACTAGGTTCTAACCTTTTAGATCCACGTAATTTGAGAGATTTCAGAGCTCCAACTCCGCCTTGTACCGGCACACAAGCGCGCATAGTGACCCAACCGACATGCTTAGAAAGCGCATGAATCCCTAGGCATAGGGAACAGCATTCAATAATCTAAATGTTGTTGCATATTTGAGAGGCTCATGGTCAAATACACTTGCTAGAGCCTTTTCGACTTGGTTCGTGCGCCTAGAAAAGTTGGGTAATGAGTCGAGCGGAAAAAAGCTTTGATAGGTGTTTTTTGAACATGAGCCACCCAAGACCGTGGCGAATTGAAGACGTGGGGTGTTTTTAATTGGGGTGTTTCTATAGTTGGGTGTTCCTGATTATAAGATACTTGTGCGCGTGTACGAGTTAAGACGTTGTCTTGTAAACAGACTAGGGTTAGGAGTTTTTTTATGAAGAGAGGAGATCTGTCAGCAGGGAGGCATGTTGCCTGCACAGGCAACTTTGCTGCGTCCATCACGTGGCGCGTGATGGTGATGCATGCATCACCCCCAAGGTCGGTCGAAAAAAAATGTCCATTTATAAGACTTATAAGACACCCAAAACCTCCTCAATTACAAGACAAACATATTATCTTTTTCTAGTGTATAAGTTAAGACATATATGATATCAATTTTTGAAAGTGTAACACTTTCTAAAATTTCGTATTGTGAAAGCGGAATCGTGGCCAACGCAGCAAAGGTAGCGAAAAGAGGCTCGACGCTACTCACCCCTCTTTTGCCTACAAAAGAGGAACGTTGGCTCACTCGCCTCACCCACGTTCTTCATTTTTCAAAGTTTCTAGTTTTACTTTCTCGTTCTCGTCCATCCTGGCGAAGACGCAAACCCTCCCGCGGTTCAAGGCCCCGACTACTCTGCTTACCGACATTCTTCAGCACAACATCGCGAGCATGGCGCCCGCAAATACGACACTTAACCGAGATGCTGACAAATTGATTACCCCAAATAATTTTGCGGAGCCTGCATACGCGACCGTGGCATCCGACCGCCGCAGAAAACGCCCTGCCGAAGAAAATTTGGAACTACCCACTTGGAATGAAGCACGCTGCCTTTGCAAGATGGACTAAGGAAGCTTTCACAATTATTATATTCAGGCGATGACAATAAGCTGGTAAAAAGGGTGTCGTGGGGTGATAATAAACAGATTTGTTACAATCCCCTGGAGAATAATGCCAAAAAACGATAAGCCCCTAGATCATCCATTCAGGGTAATTCGATAGTTCATCCTGTAACTAATGAGAGCATGCAAATTTGATTTACATTTCTATTAGACCAATTGTTGAGGCAAGCGGAACTTGATAGAACCTCGTTCTCCAATCGAATTGCTCTGTAATATGTTCAGTCGCAGCCCTTACGCAGCGTCAACCGCACATTTCAGTGGCAGAAATGGCAGAAATGGCAGAACCGCACTCTTCCTTTCTTTGAGTGACGCATCCCTCACTCTGGGAGGGAGGAGTGAGGGATGCGTCCGCATTTCGGGTTTCCGAACCTGATTACCTTTCTATATTCGCTTTTCCCTTTCCATTCTGCGATTCCTTTTTTTTTTTCTATCGCCGCCTGCGCGGTCTAACACAGTGTTTTTTCGGCATTTGTCATTACTATAAATGTCTGACCCCATCCATTTGTGTGCCTGCTTCACAGGTGGAGGCTGTGCGGCTTGGTATACCCAGGGACACGCCGCTTGCCGTGCAGCAGTGGGAGGTGAGGGGACAGTGCCTCCATCCATCGTCCTGATTTATGTTCATGTGCAGATGCACATGTCACGCCATGCCTCTTTCTGAGGCGCTTCAAAAATAGACAGTACTTCTATCCATCGTCTTGTATGCCATGCGCGCGTGCACATGTCACGTCGTGCCTCCATTCACCACACCTCCACACTATGATCACACCTTTATTATTCGCCCGTCTGTGCCTGAGGAAAGACTCCTAACAGTGAACCATTTTAGCCTCCTTACAAGGAGACTCACACATCATCTCTGCTCTCTGCGCACGGCGAGTGTCGAGGCGCCTTAAGAGTCATTTCATCGTGCCTCTAATCGCTGCCTCTTTCCCTTGCTCGTTCTCTCTCTCACCGTCAGGGTTTGATCGCTGTGAACTATGCGGCGAGGGCAAGGGGCGTGCAGAGGCACGACCGCGTGTTTCAAGCCAAGCAAAAGGTGCGCTTGTCCAGGGGTTGGGATGCATTGCATGCACCGCTTGTATCAGGCGTTTTTATAAGAATTCGTAAATTGCCGTGAGTTCTATAATTCTATTCCAGGCCAAAGAAGGTGCACGTGCTGTGCTGTGCTGTGCTGTGCTGTGCTGTGCTGTGCTGTGCTGTGCTGTGCTGAGCCGTGCTGTGCTGTGCTGATTCGTGCTGTGCATTGCACGGCGTGTATGTGAAGTGATTGAGAGGCCATTGATTGTTAGTTCCTCTCGCCCTCGCTCCACCCACCTCGGTGCCCCTGGTCAACGCCATTAGGCGCACCGGTGCCCCTGGACCCTGGTCAACGCCATTAGGCGCACCGGTGCCCCTGGTCAACGCCATGAGGCGCACCGGTGCCCCTGGTCAATGCCATGCCATTAGGCGCCCCTCACCTCACACTCCCTCAGCCTTCCCTCTGCCCACCCTTTCTCCCTGCTATAGTGTCCAGAGCTGCAGCTGATACATGTGGAGACGGTGGGGGGGGCGCCAGGAGCAGGGCGCAATGCCGGCAAGGTGTCTCTGGAGCGCTACCGGGCGGCCTCTCAGCGCGTGTTCTCTGCCTTCCGCCGCGTGTGCCCCGCTGTGGAGCGAGCAAGCATTGATGAGGCTTACATGGACGTGTCTGCTATGGTGGATGCCATGCTCTCACGCCCACCTCCTGCAGTCCCGCCTGCACCAGATGAGCCCCGCGCCGCCACAGGTGTCACCTCCTCTGCTGCTGCCTGGGAGGAGCAGTGGAGGGCGCTGTTAGAGAGTGTGACTGAAGTGAAGGTAGGGAGTGGGGCTGAGGTGAAGGAAGGGAGTGGGACTGAGGTGAAGGCAGGGGGTGGGACTGAGGTGAAGGCAGGGAATGAGACTGAGGCGAAGGCAGGGAGTGGGACTGAGGCGAAGGCAGGGGATGCACCTGAAGTGAAGGGTGAGGAAACTGAGGGAGGTGGTGACGGGGGTGGAACGGATGGGGAAGGTTTAGGGGAGGAAGGGGAGGGGAAGGATGGGGTGCAGCAGCCGCAGCAGCAGCAGCAGCAGCAGCAGCGGGTGGGGGAGACGAAAAGAGAGCATGCAGGGGCAGAGAGCGGAGGATCAGCACTGGCGGTTCCCAAGGCACGGCTGGTGGTGCGGGAGGGACCTCTGGACGCACGTGACGATGTGGAGAGGAGGTGAGACTCCTCTTGTTATCCGTCTTTCTGCTCTCCTCTCTCCCCACCTATCATCCCCTCTCCTCTGTGCTCGCCGTTACAGCATTCATCTTGGTAGCAAGTGGGATAGGGCAGAATATGTGCAGATTTCCCTCTCTTGTATGACCCACCAGGCTGCAGGCAGGAGTGGTGATAGCCCACCGCGTGCAGCAGGAGGTGCTGTCATCGCTGGGCTACACGGTGAGCGTGGGAGTGGCGCGCTGCAAGCTGCTCGCCAAGATGGCCTCCGCCACCATGACCAAGCCGTTTGGGATCACCGTGGTGAGTGAGGGTCATGGCAAGGGCACTTGTAATGTCAACGTGGTGAGTGTTGAGGCGATGGCAGGTGTATCAGGTGCATAGCATTGTGATGATTGCCTGTAGGGGGGCATGGGTATGTCATCGTGTCGACTCACAAGCTGCTCGCCAAGATGGCATCCGCCATGACCAAGCCGTTTGGCATCACCGTGGTGAGTGTTGCAGCCCTGACCACCAATGACCAAGCCCGCTATTCGGGATCACTGTGGGGAGTGCCGCCCATGTTGCGGTGCCATCATCATCACTGCAGTCAGGCGATGACAGGTACATCAGGGCGGGCATGGCATTGTGGTGAGTGCACTTCGAGTGGTGAACCGAGTTCCGTGGCAAGGGGTGCATGTTATGTCATTGTTGTGGTGAGTGAGTGCCCATGGTAGTGTATGGTTTCGGTGCTCACCGTCCTGTGCACTAAGGGTACATTCCGCTGTGGACACATGTCCCAATCGATGTGTCCCAATCGAGTGTACCGCTCCGAACCGAACTAAACCAGAGACGCGAAAATTTCGAAACTAGGGTGCAATTTGGTGTAATACGATGCAGTGCGGTAGAAACGATTGGGACACATCGATTGGGACATGTGTCCACAGCGGAATGTACCCTAAGAGACAAGTTGGCTTTTTAGCACTGAATTTGTTGACCGCTGTCATCGCAACCTTTTTATTAACATTCTCAAAAGCGACTTGAGTGCACTATCAACATTGACTCTGCCAACCACTCTCATTGCTGCACGCTCAATTGCATTTTTGCAATTTTCATTTTTTGCTCAATTTGCATTTTCAGGATGTTGTTATATGTTTCGCCCTGAAATTTCAGGATGGCCCCGGTATTTTGCCCTGTAGTGTGAGTATAGATTTCATCAGATAATTCAAGTGAAAGAAAACCACGTGCCCATTGAAGTGCATGAGTTTCAGCTTAATACCTAGCGAGTCTGTGATAAAAGAGTAAATGCTCATGAGTTGCGCGCAGAGTATGGTATATGCCCCAGCCAGTGCCGCGCGTAAAGTGGAAAGCCGAACGAAGAGGAATAGAGAAGATAAGGCATGCGAGTGAGGGGCTTGAAAGCAGACGAAGCAGAGGGAGAGGAAAACAACACAAGCAACAAAACAACGCGAGACGCGAAAGCAAGAGCAGAAAAGGCACCAAAGGACTGATGGAAATAGAAAGGACTGGAAAGGCATGGGCAACTGAGTAAATGCGTGGCAAAAAACGAAGAATATCAGCGAATAAAAGACCAGACGAAGAGATGAAAGCAGGGCACAAAGAATAGAGAACCATCAGGAGACAGAATGAGAGGAGAGGGAAGGGCAAAGAGAAAGCTGGGGGGCGGGGGGGAGGAGGAGGGAAGGGGGAGAAGGGCAGAGTTGGGCAGAGGTGGGCAGAGTTGGGCAGAGGTGGGCAGAGTTGGGCAGAGGTGGGCAGAGTTGGGCAGAGGTGGGCAGAGGTGGGCAGAGTTGGGCAGAGTTGTGGGCGGATGGAAGGAAGTCTGCATCCCCCACATCCCCTAGGAGATGTAGTGTGCGGCACTGGCAGGGATGGGCAGGGTGCGGCACTGGCAGGGATGAGATGGTGTTACAGCGCCTAAGAAATGTGACGTGCAGCACTGGAGGAGGTGGCTGGCAGGGTGTAGTGCTGGTGGGACGAGATGGTTTTACAGCGACTAAAAATCTGCATCCCCTGAGAGATGCGGTGTGCGGCACTGGAGGAGGTGGCCGGTAGGGTGCAGTGCTGGTGGGGATGATATGAGATGGTTTTTGAGGCGCCTAAGAATCTAAAACCCCTGCGAGATGTGGTATGCGACACTGGCAGAGGTAGTGGCAGGGTGCAGAGTGAGGAGAGAGAGTTGCCACGAGGAATTGAGAGAGTTGCGGCAAGTTTTGAGGCGCCTGAAAACCGTCACTGGCGGAGGTAGTGGCAGCGTGCAGAGGGAGGCGAGAGAGTTGCAATGAGGAATTCAGGTGGCAAGTGGGTGGTTGCAGGCAGCGCGGTCGAATGGCATTGAGTGCGGTGAACAGTGGCTGGGAGCGGTGGCTGCAGGCACTCTGGTGCAGTGAACGGTAGCAGCAGTTGGTTCGGTGAACAATGGTTGGGAACGTTGCGGCACTAGCAGTATCCAGTGCGGTGAATAGTGGAGTGATGAGTGCCCGTGAAAATGCAAGGATCTGATGTTACGCAGGCATGGAGAGAGCAGATGCCTCTCTCCTTGCTCTGCATGCAGTGTGGCAAAGCAAGGAAGCTTGTGGCTGTGGGAAGGGCGGCAATGTAAGGGCAGCAGTGGGAAGGTTCATGAAGAAGCCGCACTGTCCCTTCACTTGGCAGTCATCACCTGTTCCTTTGCTTGCGGACAGAGCTTCCCAATCTGGCCCTCAATCATCCTATGAAGCCTCTGAGCGTTATTTCCTTCCCAAACACGCCTTCAACCCACTTGCCCCTTCAGCCCACACTGCAGGCCTGCAGACGAATTGCGTAGAAAATGATACCTGCCACAGCTGCGGCAATGAAGACTGCTGCAGATACACCAAGGTAGAGGCAAGTTATTATCAGCATCATGTCCTGCTGCCTCTGCTCCCCCTGCTACTCTGCTCCCCCTGCTCCTCCCTCTACTCCCTCTGCTCCTCCTGTTACTCTGCTTCTCTGCTGCCTCTGATTCTCTCTCCTTTCAGTCTGATTCACAAGCCTCTCACAGCCACTATGACTCACCTCCGTTTCTGCCCCTCCCTATTTTTGCCTGTTCCTGCTCCTGCCCCGTGTTGCTTCTGTCCCTGCTTGTCTCTGCTCCTCCCCTCCTGCTCCTTCACCTTCGAAACTGATCCGCTCCCTTCCCCCTCTACCTTGAAGTCTCACCTTCTTTCGTTCTGAAAACTCATCCGCTCACCATTTCCTCGTCTCTCCTCCCTTCACCCTTCTCCTCCCAGCTTCTCCCTTCTACCCCCTTCTCCCACCTTCTCCTCTCTTGCCCTCCCTCCACCTTCTTCCCTCTATCACCTGCCACCCTACACAGCCCTCGTCCCAACACCATCCCAAACGCCGCACCCCAAACATCTCATTCCTTTGTACCTGCTGCGCTTACTCCCCATACTAAGAGTGACACCGCTCCCCTGCACCTGCTGCCCTTACTCCCCCAAACTCACTCCTCCTCACGCCACCAAATCCTGTGCCCCGCGCCTACAGGTACCAACACGTGCTCAGCTGCCCAGCCTACCAATCGTTCGCAACACCTATTCCTCCCTGCTCTCCCCAACAACCACCGTCATGCACCCTCTTTCCAGCTGCCTCCACGCGCGTTGCCTGCAGCTGCCATGGCATTATCACACCCACCCCGCACGCCACCAAATCCTCTGCTCCGCACCTACAGGTCCCCTGCTCCGCTCCCCTGCTCCGCTCCGCTGCCTTCACCACTTCTCCCCACGCGTCTTCGTTCCCCACAGCTGCCCTCACATCCCCCTCACCCTCTCCCCCACCTCTCCCCCCTCCTCCCCCACCCTTGCAACCCGCACTTCCATTCCGCATCAACTGCTGCGTGCATTCACTCGCCGCACACCCAATGCTGCCCTTTCAATCCCCCACCCCCTCCCCCACCCCACACCCTGCACACATTCTTCCCCCAAAACTGCCTTTCATTCGCCTGTGATGAGACGAGTTTTAAGTCGACTCAAATCCCCCACCCCCTCCCCCAACCCATACCCTGCACACATTCTGCCCCGCAAAACTGCCCTTTCATTCGCCGCACCACCCCACACCCTGCACCTGCGAGCCCTCCAATAACCAGGCCAATGGACCATACACAACCCAAATCACACACATCTCCCCTCATCCCCCCAACCCCCCGCCCAACAACTCTTGCCCTCGCCCTATCACCACGCAGCCCCGCTTTCCCGCACCCCCCAAAACCCCGATATAGGAGCAAATTCTCCCCTCAACTATCTCCCTCCACTCCCCCCACCGCGCACACCCCAACCGCGCACCCTCACCCCCTACCACACCCCCCTCCAAACCCCCCCCCCCCTTTCTCCCCCGCAAACCCCTCTGTCGCCTTTAGCTGCTGCTGTCCGCAACAGCGCCGCCCCCATCCGCGCTAGCCCCCGCACCGCACCAGCCCCCGCAGGCGTGAATGTGCCGAACCCCCCAGCCCCCACCTCCCTCCCCCCCTCCCCTCAACCCCCCCTCTGACGTCTTTAGCTGCTGCTGCCCGCAACAGCGCCGCCCTCATCCGCGGTAGCCTCCACAGCAGCCGCGGCAGGCGCGGGTGTGCCGAACCTCTCCGCCCGAGCCTTCTTCTTAGCCTCGAGCTCGCTGTCTGCAGGGTTGGCGGACCTGGATGACAGAAGAGAGAGCGCAAGGGTAGCAGGCGCGGATAAGACAGCGACGGTGGGGGAAAAGGGAAACGAGAGTGTGTTAGCGCGTGCGCAAACCACCACTAACCTCACTTGACCCACCAACGCCCCACCCTTATAGTGATGCTCTTTTCAAGAATTTCCAAAAAAAAGCTCCCCTGGTCGCTTTTCCCCACACAGTGACACCCATACTGCCATGCACCATCCCTACCCACTCACGTGTCCCTCTTCTTATCCCCTCCTGAAGCTGCGGCGCCATCTCCCACCGTGCCGAACTTCTTGGCTCGAGCCTCGCGCTTGGCCGCTTCCTCCGGACTCAGCGCGGACAGCTGAGTCGAACCGAACCTGCAGGCAGGAGACGGGATGAGAAACCTGAATACCGATGACAACCGCACTCATCTCACATAAATCCCATCTCATCTCCCACTCGGAGAACGAGGCGGATCATAACGAAGCGGATCGGAAACGACTACTTTGAACACACCTACACCTCAAAACAGGTCTGCTCACCGTTCAGCGCGGGCCTTCTTCCGCGCCTCCTCCGCAGCCTTGTCCGCCTGGCTGCTGCCGCCACCACCACTCGCGCCACTCGCGCCATTCCCGGCGTCCTTATCCGCTTTGATTCCAAATTTGGCGGCTCGCGCCGCCTTCTTGGCGTCCTCCGCCGCAGGCGTGGCGTCCAGAGTGCCGAACCTGTGAGAGAGGGGCAGGGGGCAGGGGGCATGTGGAACAGAACCCAAAACGGTCACGTCATGTGGGGTCTAGAGTGCCGAACCTGCGAGAGGAAAGGGGTGACAGAACGCAGAACCGCGATGTTATAGATGCAACGACGACCGATCCTGTCACAATCAAGTCGACTCAAAAGGCGTCGTCCGCCGTGGTGCTCCAGAGTGCCGAATCTGGAAGCCTAGATCTGGAAGAACGGGTGGGATGAACCCAAATATGCCGCACATCACGTTTTCGCACACCTCGCCAACCGTTTCGCGAGTGGCGCTCACCGTTCGGCGCGCAGGCGGCGCTTCTCCTCCTCGCTGATGGTCAGCTCCGTCCCAAACCGCTCCGCGCGCGCCTTCTTCCTCTCCAGAGTCGCCTGCACCTCGCTCGCCTTCTCGTCGCTCGCCTTCTCGTCCTTGCCCTCCTCCCCCGCCTTCTTCGCTCCCTCGCCACCATCTGCATCATCCTCTCCTCCTTCCTCTCCGGCAGCAGCAGCTTCGGCTGGCGATGCTTCTGCTGCTTCAGAGTTTCCGTTTTCGACGGGCGCATCGGCGGCAGCAACCGGCTCTGATTTGATCTTATCGGCTTCAGATGCCATGGCGACGGGTCTGAACAACGGGATTGGGGTTGAAAGTTGTCGGACGTTGACGGATTCCGTCACGTCAAATGCTGAGGTTCAGCTGTCGGACGAGCTTGATATAAGACGGATCCACGTTACTGAGAGTCGACTGAGAAAAAGATCGGCGACGAGGAAGCAGGACTAATCCACTAGGAACTATCTACTAGGGACAATCGTCGGAACGCGATCCGAGGCACCACGAGGATGAACGAGATTAGCGAGGGAATCACTTATTTCCAGCAGCCTGGAAGACCAAGAGATCTGCCCGTCTTAGGGTCTCGAGAAGCTTCGGCAGATTTATGAGACTCGAATGGCGGCGAAAATCGTAGGGAGATCAGATCAGCAGATGCAGGATGAGGGAAAATGAAGCAAGGGGATCTGGAGGGAGAAATACGTGGAGAAGAAAATGCAGATCTTCAGGTATACGAGGAGTAAATATCGAGGGGAGAAAGGGGAGATACCAGCACGAGGGAGAATGTTCCACTGAGCTAGTGAATAGGTCATAGGGAGGGACATCTAAGTCTCGATATAGTGAACCTCCCGTAGCTTGGTTTCGTGATTTGTCAGATTCCCAAATTATCCAGGACGTTCGTCGTTTTGGCGAAGTGCACTTTTCCAACTTATTATCCAGCCTAGCAGGCGAAATGAAATCGCGAATCGACTTGGTAACACTATCCCCAACCCGAAACCTTGCCTAAAATCCTCAACCCCCCACATCCAATTTCGAGCTTCCTTTTTCGCCCTCCTTTTCCTCCCACTTTTCCACCCCCCCCTTACCTTCGGTACGGTAGGTCAAATCCTCTTCTACCCGCTCATTACGCCGTCTCCTTGTAGCGAGCTCCAACTTGCAGCGTAACACTGTAACCCGCCGCCATGCTGTCGGCAATATCGTGGGTCCCGCGCGGGGCGGCGAAACCGTTCCCCAAAACAGCGGAGCTCGACGAGGAGGAGGTCGCAGAGGTGCGCCGCCGGGCAGAGGGCGCCGCCGCCGCCGCCGCCGCCGTCGCTGGCGGCGCTGGCGGAGACGCCGACGCTGAGGACGGCGAGGAGAATGACGAAGACGCTGCGATGGAAGAGGAGGAAGAGGAGGAGGGTAGTGAGGAGGAAGGGGAGGCGGACGGAGAGGAGGCAGCGGCGGCGGCTGCGGCATTGGCGGCGGAGATTCGGAAGGCGAAGAAGGGCCAATCGGCGGATGACAGGCTGGCAGACGAGCTTGCTGAGCTGGACATGGACCACTACGACGACGAGGCCGACGCGGCGCCGAATCTGTTCGGCACGGGGAAAGGCGTCGGCGCGGCGTATTACCGAAGCAACGACGAAGACCCGTACCTGACCAAAGCGGAAGGTGCGGAAGACGAGGACGACGAGGACGAGATCGAGGATCTCACCATACGCGATACAGACTTGCTCATTCTCGCGGCGCGGAACGAGGATGACGTCAGCTTCATCGAGGTATGGGTGTGCGAGGAGCAGCAGAAGCGGGAGGAGGGGGAAGACGGCGATGACGTGGCACAAAACGACAAGGAGCTCAACATGTATGTGCACCACGACATCATGCTTCCCGCCTTCCCGCTCGCTCTCGCCTGGATGGATTTCAATCCCTCCGCCGCCGCCGCCGCCGCCGCTTCCAGTTCTTCCGCCGGCGCGACCGCCGCCGTGATTGCCGCCGCGGGAGCCGGCGCGAGCGTCCTGGCGCCAGGAAACTTCGTGGCAGTTGCGACGATGGACCCTGCTATTGAAATTTGGGACTTAGACGTTCTAGACGAGGTCGAACCCGCCGCGTCTTTAGGAGGCTTTGTGACTACAGCGGGCGGTGCGGGCGGTGATGCGGAAGAGGAGGAGGAGGAGGAGTGGGAGGAAGTGGAGGAGGAGATGGAAATGGGCGGCGGGGGTTCAGGGTCTAAGAAGGGTTCAAAGGGCAAGAAAGGGAAAAAGGACAAGGGCGGAAAGAAAGGAAAGAAGGGCAGAGAGCGTGAGCAGGAAAAGCGTGGAAGCAGCAACAAAAAGGGAAAAAGTCAAGGAAAATCATCAGCAGCGGCAGTTCTGAAGGAGGGGAGTCATAAGGGGGCGGTGATGGCTCTGTCATGGAACCGTGAGTACCGCAGCGTGCTGGCGAGTGGAGGGGAGGACCGGCGGGTGAAGGTGTGGGACATGGCGGCACAGCGCTGTGATCGCACGCTCAAGCCGCACACGGGAAAGGTTCAGGCCGTGGCGTGGGCGCCTCTACACGCCACAAGTCTGCTGTCGGGCTCTTTTGACCGCTCCCTCGCCCTGGTACGTGCCCTGTTGACTCTGGTAAGGTGTGCGATCGAACGCTCAAGCCGCACACCGGCAAGGTGCAGGCGGTGGCCTGGGCGCCGCTGCACGCCACCAGCCTCCTCTCCGGGTCGTTTGACCGCTCTCTGGCGCTGGTAGGTTGTGTGCTCATCTGCATGTGAGTGAAGTTGAGTCAAGGTGTGGGACATGGCGGCTCAGCGCTGCGATCGAACGCTCAAGCCACATACCGGCAAGGTGCAGGCTGTGGCATGGGCGCCGCTGCACGCCACGAGTCTCTTGTCCGGGTTGTTCGACCGCTCTCTCGCTCTGGTGAGTAAAGGTGTGGTGGGCCATGGTGGTTCAAGCCGCACACACGGGACATGTACAAGGTGCAGGCGGTGGCCTGGGCGCCCCTGCACGCCACCATACTTTGACTTCCCATGTCTCCCTCCTTTGACCGCTCCCTGGCGCTGGTGGGTGCTCCTGTCTCGTGGTGTTGGTTTGGCTTTGATAGGTGCAGTATTCTTGCTGGTAGGTGTCTTACTTACAATGGTTGGGAGCCCGTTGGCTCTGGTGCTTTCTGTCTCAGCAAACTTACCCCCTTCTCCCCTTCCCCCTCGCCACTCCCCTCCCGCCCCTCTCCCCCCCACACCCCAACCCTCCCTCTCCCCCCCTTACCGCAACCCCCCACTCCTCCTCAGACGGACGTCCGGTCGCGCGATGCTACAGTGCTGCGGTGGGGTGTCTCTGCGGTCTTACTTACCCCCTCCCCTCATGCCCCCATTCTCCACCACCCCCCCTGCTGCCGCCCTCGGCCCGCCACCCTCTTCCCTCTCAGACGGACGTCCGGTCGCCCGATGCTACAGTGCTGCGGTGGGGTGTCTCTGCTGACGTGGAGGCCCTCGCATGGGACCCACACGAAAGCACGCGCTTCGTCGTCTCTTCTGAGGACGGGCTTATCTGCTGCCATGACACGCGGGCCGGCAGCAGCAACGCCACTGCCGCCAGCTCGGCGTCGCCAGTTTCGTCTTTTCCGAATGCCCTCTTCACAATCCATGCGCACACCAAGGCGGCATGCACTGTTTCTTGGAACCCTAAAGTCCCGAACCTACTCGCGTCTGGTTCGACCGACAAGACTGTGAAGCTGTGGGACCTTACGGGGAACCAGGCTCGGTGTTTGGAGTCATCAAATCCGAAGCTGGGAGCTGTTTTCTCAGTGGCGTTTTGTGCCGATGCGCCTGGTTTCCTGGCCATGGGAGGATCGAAGGGGAAGTTGAAGGTGTGGGATACCAGAAAGGTTGCTGATGTGTGACAGAGGTTTAGAGTGGTGTGAGCATGGGATTTACGGCATGTCGTGGCTTGAATTTCCACTGGTTGTACGGTATGTTAGCAGTGTGCCTATACGCGTGGCAATTATGTTGTGACTAGGGTCATCATTACCTGTATTCTGGCAGCGTCCCTATTTTCTATTTTTTCGAGTTGATAGTTTGTGAAGGGTCTTTTTGGCATAGCTACCTACCGTCATGAAGGTCCTACTTTCCAAATTCACCATGATTTGTGCTCCGGTACATGTTTTATAATTTGCTGCTGCTGGTCTAATTTTTCGTAGAAGGTTGGGTCAAATTTTCATTAGTTACTATCTGTATGCTTTCAGATGCTACGGCCTGTCATTTTGAGGGCTCCCCCTCTCCAGTCATCACCGAACCAGGGTTCTTAGTGGGTCAAGAAACGCGGCGGCGCGCTATTGGAAGGCTCTTGCTTCCTTGAGCGGCTTCGCTACCCTGGGCAGAATTGCTATAGTAGATTAACGCAGATTTGTCTGGAAACAAGACCAAATGGGTCTCTTCGTAGCACTAAAAGGTGGACTCTGGAGCAACGTTCTGGCATACAGTTCAAGTTAATGTTTGGGTCAGCAGAGAAATATAAATCCTTTTGGTTTTTTTTGCTGACTGGAGAGAGTGGACCTGGACAGGCGGTGCCTGCTCTTTCCACCCTGGTTCTTGTGGCCATGTTTTTCCAAGGGTACACGGGCAGAGGGAAACAACGGCGGCGACGGTGGGTTTGTGCGCCGCCTTCTTCACCGAAGCTGGTCGCGCAGACTCGGCGCTTTCGAAGCAATATTTACCGTCCATTTCCTCGACCCGATTCATTTCAGTCGTCGATGTGCCCCGCTCTCGCCCCTTTTTGCTGATACTGACCGCGTTTCGACTCTACGGGCAGGTTGAAGTTGGAATGTTTCTCTTGCGTCAGGGACTCAGGGCCAACAATGACAACCTTCCCCTTCCCCCACTTCCCCTGAGCTGCGCCCCGACGACCTTCCCCCCTTCCATCTCCCCAAACCCATTCTGCTCCAATTGACCAGAGCCTGCGACGAATTCATCCCTAGCTTTGGGTGAAATCCGTCGCTCATAGCAACATTGAATGGTCGCACAGTGGGGATTTCTACATGACTGACCACGACTGGAATTCGCAGAGGGACACTCTGTTTGTCGCCCATGCATTCCCCACTCACCCCCCATCAAACCTCCTCCTCCCGCTCTCCCTTTCCCACACATGTCCACACCACAATGGATGGGCGGGCACTCACGCGCGCACGCACTCCGCCCGTTCCGCCATTGACAGTCGGCCCTTTCCGCCATGGAATCTCACCACTGTGCACGTTGTGACCTCATCCAGGAGTACAACTTTCTCCTCGGGAGTAACGAGTACTGACTGCTTCTGAACTTCTCCAAAGATCACAGGCAGGTGGCGAACTGGATGTGCTCAGTAATCAAAATATGCTCACTCACTGATTCCTCAAGCTGGTTGCTGCTTTGATAGTTTTAATGGCGGTCTAGAATGATACGCTGCATGGTCGTCTCGTAAACCTCGAGATTCATCAGCTCGGTTCTTCGCGTGTCTCGACGAGTTATCTCTACGTCTCACGGAATCATACGCTCGTTCCGTCTGGGTTGCTCGTTCAACGTTGAACCTCGTACACTCTTGAAGCTTGTTCGACCTTGAAGCTGGTCGTTCCTGGAAAGCTTTAGTTTCTGCGTGGCGTTCATCAAGATGCATCTTCGATCGACTCAATTTCCTTCTCAGAACTCACCTGGTCCGCTGTATCTGATTCACCGAGCCGCTGATTCATAATCACTTGGTTAACATTTCGCCGCAGAACGTACTTATATCTGCGAGGTACCCTTTGCTATAAGTGTACGTTTGCCGATCACGCGGATTAGAAGGACCTTACAATCATGGCGTGCACGCAATCATTCCGCGTCGACCGCGTCAGGTCGATTCTCCTAATCCTTTTGGGATCCCTGACGGTGCTCTGCAAACCAGCCGGTGGGAATTTCAGACCGTCAAATCTAGTCAACGTGGTGTCTGTGACGTCTAAGCGATACATAGTAGGTAGTAATAGCGGCGGTAGCAGTATCAGCTCCCAAACTCAGGTTTCTAGAAGCTCCTCCTCCGGTATCGTCGCGTCGCTTCAAAGTCTCACGTCAAGTAGCGACCCCACGAGATATTCCAGTACGGTCCATCGACCTCAGTCGTCGGTAGCTGGGCAATCAACGGTCATGGCAGCCGCCGAAGCGACGAAGCGATCGCGGGAACTGCGGATCGCGCGAAGCTTCGCCGTGGGGCAATGGAATCGCCGCAAAGCGCTGCCGATTCGGTACCACGGCGGGTGGGTGATGGCGAAAATCCCGATCAAGGTCTTCATTATCTACTACGGCTCGTGGACTTCGTCAGAAGTGAACATCGTGGAGAATTTTATTAACTCGCTCTCCAACAACAATACCACGCCCAAGGTATAACTCTTGAAACTCTTGAGGGTTCTCGACTAAGTTCGTCAGTTCGGAGTTCTTTTGTGTTCGCTTATTCTTCAGAGTCTTCGAGCAAGCACACCATCGTGCTTTGCCTTCTCTTCTCCGCTCCCCGCGCGCGTCAACCTCCTCTCCGCTCATCGGCGCTCTGTCTGTCATGCGTACGTGTGCGTGCGTGCATCTGTGCGAGCAGGACGCCAAGGCGGTGTCGGCGTGGCAGTGGTGGCAGATCGCAACGTGGTACACCATGAAGCGGGGCAGCCAGACGGTGCCCGTGTCGTCGCAGGTAATACGTCGCCCGCCGTCGCCAGGACGAGCTCATTTCCTCGCGTCGCTCGCTGCAAATGGGAATGCCCGAGACATAATGTATCGCTTCTCGCTTACCCACCTGCTCGCCTGCTCGCCCTGTCTCCTAACCCATCATCCTAAATCGGACGGATGTTTCCTTGCAATCATTTACCCCTCTTCCTTCTTCTACCTTCCTGCCCCTATCCTCGTTACAAGCAGGTGTTCCGGAAGCGGGTCTTTGACAAGTATTCGCTCGGGAAAGTGATCAAAGACGACTTGGGAGGCGTCTGGCAAAGTGAGATCTACGTTGCTCACTCCGTCTTCTCCAGCCTTTGCCCATCTTAGCACATCCGCTCAGATCTCCCTTTCTCTTTCTCTTCACTCGTTTGTCGAGTGTTTGCCTGTGTGACCATTCCGCCACCTCTCCTCTTACAAGTGCCCCTCTTCTATTTCCGCCTCTGTTTCCCTCCCCTTCTCCTCCGTCTCTCCCTCCTCTTCGCCCTTTCCCTGTTTCCCCCAGTAATCGACCAGCAGCTCCGTACGCAGGCCCTTCCCATTCACGCGTCCCCCCTCCTTCCTCCCCTTCTTTCCCCCTCTTTCTCTCTCCCTCCCTCATCCCCCTTCTCCCTCTCCCCCCCTCTTCCCCCCTCTTTCCCTCTCCCCCTTTCGGCCCCCCTCTTTCCCTCTCCTCCAGTAATCGACCAACAACTACGCACGCAGGCCCTTCCCATTGACAGCTCAGCGCAGTACCTCGTGCTGACGAGTGCTGACGTGGCGCTGGGGGACCGCGAGAAGGGGTTCTGCGGGCGGTCGGGGTACTGCGGGTTCCACTCGTTCGCCACGGACGGCGTGAGCTACATCAAATACGCGTTCATAGGGGAGAAGTGCGGGACGCGGTGCATGCGCACAGGAGGCAGAAAGTGAGTGTCAAATAGAGGGGGTTCCGCTGGAAAGTCTGCTGCTGCCTATTATGCAGCGAGTGAGGGTGTTGGTGCAAAGCCGTTCGCGCACATGCACATTCGGACAGAGTGAGCTACATACATCAACCTTCAACCTTCAGCTTTGCCACCTTACTCCCCTTTGCTGGAAAACTTGTGACTTTGGAATCAACTTAAACGACGGACGGAGTGGGCGACATCAACTTTCAGCCTTTCCACCTTACCCCGCCTCGCCCTTTCCCACCCCATTGCCCTTTCCCACCCCCCTTCCCCAGAAGAACGCCCAACGGCAAGCGGGGAGTGGATGGGATGATAAGCATCGTGGGGCACGAAATGGTCGAGACGGCCAGCAACCCGCGCATAGAGGGCGGGTGGTACGACGCACTGGGAGCAGAGAGCAGCGACAAGTGCATGACGGATTTCGGCCCGTCGGTGTCTGTGGGGGGGGCGGCGGTGGCGCTGGGGGGGAGTGGGTACAGCTATAATATGGTGGGGCAGGGCGGCATGCAGTGGTTGGTGGAGAGTAACTGGCGACCCGTGGAGCCACAGGGGTGCGTCATGGCACGGTACTGAGGGGTTGGATGCGGTGCTGACGGGGTGCCTCATGGTGCAGTACTGAGGGTTCGAGTGCGGTGGCGCACAGGTACAGCTACACCATGGTGGCGCAGGGCGACATGCAGTGGCTGGTAGAGAGCAACTGGCGACCTGTGGAGCCACACGGGTGCGTCATGGCGCAGTACTGAGGGGCTGAGTGCGGTTCTGGCGGGTGCACCATCACATGCTACGCTCCATGGGCGGCGGTGTGGGGTTTTGCTGCTGGCTTTTAAGTTATAACTGCTGCTGGTCGCGCAACAACCAAACCAGAGATGGAAGCTGTATGGATGAGTTTTTAGTAAAAAATCACCTGAAGCGCTGTGCGGCGAGAAGTTACTGGATGGTACATGCGGTGTGGAGGCTGCGATATGGCTAGGCTACTCTGCGCAAGCAGTGAAGACAGAAGCCAAGGCGTGACCTTGCTGGCATGGCTGCTAACACACTAACAGGTTTGGTGCATTTTTCTAACCCAGTAGGTGTGTGGCCCACGTAGCTGATCTGGTTTTGACATCATATGAAACTTCTTCGGCTAGGCTGTGCAGGAGATCCAGTGGGTTCTGTGGAAAGCCTTCAATGTTGTAACGATATAAAAGGAAAATGAAGAGCACACACAGCTCATTGTCCTAACCCCACCAAAACTTCCGCCCCCTCTTGCACCATACATTTCCCCCTCTATAGCTACCCAAGAGCGGGAGGTGTATAATGCGAGAGATAGCCATAACAAGTAAAGAAGCACACGAGAGCGAAGCCCTCTAGCTGCCGACCAGCACCGTTTGGCCGACCAGACCCACACCTCCACAGCTGTCAGAGGCGTTTCCGAACCAGCACTGCTCGTTCGGCTCTCGAACCTCCGTCAGCTGCGAACCCGCGCGCGGGGCTCCATATTGCAGCCACTCACCGACTGTACCCGAGCCTGCGGCACACGCGCCCGAGCCTTCGCAGTCTGTCACAAAACCACCAGCCTCGTTTTCTGAGTCTGAGTACCTCGATTCAGCATGCGAGCTGGTTACCAGGCGGGAGCTTGTAACTGAAGCAGGAGCGCTGCGGGGCCGAGCTGGAAAGACGGGAGTGGTAACGGAAGCGGCGGCGGAAGAAACGCGCTTCATCGGGGAAAAGAAAGACAAAATGCTAGAGGCGGCGGAAAGCGCGGAGGCGGTTATGGACGTCCTTCGCTGGTGAGTCTGAACGGGTTCTTTGCAGGTAGTACTGCCGGAGCAGGTGGTACTGGGGGAGGCAGTATCTGAGTGGGAAGAGGTTGTACTCGTAGCAGGGGAGCTGCTGGTACTGCTGGCGCCGACGCCAATGCTGCTTCTATCGCTGCTGCTACTGTCGAATCCACAGCTCGTACTGCTGTCGCCTCTGGCGATCTCGCTGCCGTTGTCGCCTGCGTCGCCGCTGTTACCGTTACAACTGCTGTTACTCGTATTGCTGCTCCATCGACCGCTACCAGTAAGCGTACTCGCCAGGAGCTGAGGCAAGAAGAAACCGTACGACCGCGAGAACGACGTTTCATCTCCCTCTGAAGAAGCTTCCTCCGCAAGCAGCTGCTCATGCAGCACCTTACAGTACGAGGAGAACTCCGTTTCAGTTACATTCAGCTGAAAGTTGAGCCGGAACAGAAACTCCAGCTCTAAGCGGTTCATCTCCTCTATCGAGATCCCCCCGACTTTCGCATAATACGCGTTGTTATAATACGCGTCGTCCATAAACTTGGCCGCTACAAGAACACTCGTTATCAGCAGCCGGTGGACGTTGAGCGTCGTTATAAGCATGGCGTCTTTCCGTTGCATGATCCGATCGATGTAAATGTAGGCCATCACGTAGCACGACGGGCTGCATCGGGCGTATTTGAAGATTCGGTCGAAATACTTCTCGATGCTGATCCCGGGAGACCGGAGTCCGTCGAAAACGGTCAGCTGCGACGCGTGGTCCTCGGCGCAGCTCGCGCCGCTGTTTCCGGCGCTGTCAGGGGCGAGATTTGCGGTGGAGATGGATTCGTTGCTGGCGACGATGCGGTTGAGGATCGTGGCGAACACGTGGAGGACACGTGGCTTGTCGGTGAAAGAGAGCGAGTCGATGTCAAGTGCGGCGAAAGCGGGAGTGCTGCTCGCGTCTTTTGTGAACATCACCCGTGGAGCTGTTTCTGCGCGAGCCGTGACCATGGCGGTGGTTTGTGTGCGACGCTCGAAGCCCGAAACTCCATCGGCGCCTGAGCTTCCCACGCAATCTATATCTCCCCTGGTGGCGACCATGGCGTGCGGCGAACAAACGAGCTGGATCGGACGGAAAGTCGGGACGACGACGACTTGCTTCAACGATAGTCGGGAGGAAGAAAGTGGAGGAACTGACTGATTTTGGCTGGTTTGAGCTGAGGAGCTTGCGAGTTGAACGGTAACGAAGTGGAAATATATGCTTTTCAGCGACACGGGTGCTTTCCTTTCTTGCGCTTGCAAGCGGAAGGAGCGGCAAGAGAAGCGCAGGTGAGGCAAAACAGAGGGACTTTCGGGAGGGGGGGAGGGGGGATCGGTGGGGGCAGGTGACAGGACAAGACAGGGTTCGATGGCGTAGGGTGCGGGACGGGGTGGAGAGATCAGACGAAGACCGAATCGACTCGATGAAACGTCCCGATATGGCCAGATGAAACAAAGCTCGGCCAACTTCATTGATACTCAAATTATGCCAGAGACGTTTTGCCACGGTACTCAACCTTGATTTCTCATTGCTGATTAGTGCTCGCTTTTCAATCACACTTTTCAAGTTAATAACACCCCTAAAATGTGACAAACCCTAAACGCAATTACCAAACTCAAATATACACTATTGTGTCGATGTGCTACCTAAGAATAGACAAAAACAAACATTGAATGCTCAGACCACTAAAATTTGTATCAAGCGCGAATTGCGTAAATATTAACAAAAAAAACCCATTGAGAAAAAGGATGCAGACTGGGAATAACTCAACGGATTAGGGTTGACGGCACCATTAGCCCTCCATTGACCGCGAACCTGCTGACCTCGTACAGAAAAAAAAAAAAAAAAAAAAAAAAAAAAAAAAAAAAACTCTCGGATGGCATCGATTCCAAACATCATGAGACAATGTATTTAGGGTTAGTGCCATTCTGACTGGATGCCTGTTAGCACGAGGGTTTTTTTTAATTGCTCGCGGGTAGCAGGCTCCGTTGGGCAGTGTTGTTTGTCCAAGCAGATAATCATAAGAACTTGACGACTTCCCATATTTAGGGTTAATATTTCAAAATTCTGTCCTGGTTATCCAAGCGTTTTAGTATGATTATTTGTTTTGGGGTATGTGCGGAGCTGCTGGTGGCGACATTGTTTCAGGATTGTGCTTATAAATAAAAACAACAGTATTTCTAGTTACTATATTGCAAAATTGTTGGTTGATTACGTTTGCAAACCGCTTCTGGCATAATTTGAGTATCAATGAAGTTGGCCGAAACAAAGCTAGCTAGGCTCTCTAGGCGAATGACACGCGGGGAGGGCTAGCTAGCGGGACCGCGGAAAGTAGCCGCCAGGTAGACACCGCCGACACGGGATAGGTTGGGGTGGGTGCGGGGGTCAGACTGGCGAAAGTTCGGATGCCCCAATGAGGTGCGACATTCACAGGGTTACCGCGCTTTCCTCGTTCAAAAGGCGGGATTCGGTAATGACGTGGAGCGGCTCGGAAGTGGTCACCCTTGGATTTCGGCTCGGCGGCTGGTCGTGAGACGTAGGTGAACAGAGCACACAAAGGGGTGAAAGCCCGATCGGTCGGGCAGGGCAGTATCATTTTGCTTGCTGAGGTGTTTTCGCTTGTCAAGCGGGAACTTCCTTTATTGGCTCTACCGGCATTTGCTGGCTGAAGTGTTGTCCCCTGTTTAGCGCGAAGAGCTTCTATTTGTGGTGGCTACCTTGAAATCTCTGGTTCCAGTATCGATCGTGACCAAAATTTTGCTTTCAATCCATATACTCACATGCTGGGTGTACAGTAACTGAATACATCTCTCACCCTTAGGGAATTTCTCAAAACAAAAAGCGGGACTTCTTGCATTTCTCTTCTCACCCTATAGCTCATTCTATAGGTTGACATGTACGGTCATTGTTAATTCACATTTTCTGAAATCACAACAGCAAACACATAAAAACAAGTTACACACCATGCTCCATGGTTACACGCTTTACCTGTGTTTACCTTGAAACAACACGCTCTAAAGCTTGATCGACCTTCTTGATCCGAGTCATGTAGTCGTCAACCTGCACAAGCGGACACCCTTTTAGTTGATGCAAACAAAGGCAGGGAAACAAGATGCTCCAATCTTCCCCCCCAATTCCTCGCTCCCCCCCCGCCTCACCCCATCTTTCCCCCATGCTCGCTCTCCCGCCCTCCCTCCCCCCCTCCCCCAACTCCCTCCACCCCTCCCTCACCCCAACCAATACATAATTAGCGATTCACACCTGTTCTTGAAGACCCTGTAGCCGCCTTGCTCCGATCTCCCGAACCACGAGTTTCTCCAATCTCGCCTCCAGCTCCCGAACCTCCTCCTTGTGCCGTCTCCGAGCCTCCTCCAAAGCTGCAACTAGAGGAGCCTCGGCCCGCACCGATCTCACTCGAGCCTCTGCAGCGTCGGCCCGAGCCACCGCCACTGACTCTCGTAGCTTCCCAACCTCTTGCTCCCGAGCCTTCCTCTCCTCTGCCAGGGCCTCCCGAACCTCAGCCAGTTGCATTTCCAAACCAGGAATTTCCTGTGTCATTCTTCCAAGAAGTGCAGCCATTTCCTTCTGTTGCCGATCCTCCTCTTCCAAAATTCTCCTTGCATCAATCAACTGTGCGGTCAGCTCCCGAAAAGTTTCCACGTCGACCGACTCGCGTTCCTGCTCCATCTTTTCCAGCTGCGAGCGAAGCTCCCGCACAGCTACAGATTTTTCTTCTGCCCGGAGTTTGGCCTGAAAGAGTGTAGCTCTGGTGGTTTCTATGGCTCGCCGTACTTCCAGCAAGGAAGACTCGAAGGAGGCGACCCGCCCTGAGAGCTCTGCTGCTGTGGCGATGGCTGTTGCCACTTCTGGCTGGTGCTGCTCCCGCTCGGTCTTCATTCTGAGGCAAGGGAGGCAGTTGAGAAAGGGGAGGAAAAAATAAAACACAGGTTTTACTTTCTTTTGCAGCCTTGTAGCCCCTGTAATATCCTTCCCTCAAAACTATCTCCAGCGCACGATTCTATCCATGCTATGTTCTCAGGTTCATTTTTCGCCATGCTACCTTCTCATGCTGTTTTTTCACTGTTTTGTCATCTCATTCCCCCGAGCAGGCAAGGTGTTGCAAGCAATCCCTGGCAAACCTCTCACCATAACCATTCCTCCCATCCCTCCATTCCGCTAACGTCCTCACCCTTCTTCCTCCCCTCTCCCTCCTCACCCGCCTTTCCTCTCTCCTCCTCCACACTCCAAAGCACACTTACCCTTCCAAGGCCGCAGATAGCCAAACAGCAGTCTCTGATCCCGCTGCTTCCGCTGCCTGGTAACCTCCCCCCTCCCGCCCCCTTCCCCCTCCTCACCTGCTCCACACTTACCCTTCCAAGGCCGCAGATAGCCAAACAGCAGTCTCCGATCCCGCTGCTTCCGCTGCCTGGTAACCTCCCCCCTCCCCTTCCCCCTGCTCCCTCCTTTGTAGCTCCTCCGCTCTACTCACATCCCCCTGCAGTCGCGCCCACTCCTCCGCCCGCCGCTTCTCCTCCGCCTCCCCCTCCTCCGCCTCCGCTCTTGCAACCTCCGCCTTCAGCTTTTCCCTCTCCTCCTCCACCTCCCCCCGCCTCCGCTCCAACTCAGAACTTGTCTCCCGCACCTTACCCCACTCCACGGCTAGCGCCTTCCGCGCGCCCGCGTAGAGCGCTCTTTCCTCCTCGACCTTCTTAGCCTGCGCCGCGATCTGCGCCTTAATCTCCGCCAGCTCCTCCTCGCGGCGGCTGCGCTGCTTCATCACGTGCTCCGTGACCTCTTTCGTCAGAACCAACTCGTTTGTGAGCGCCTCGATTTCCTCCTGAAGGCGCATTTAGGGGCATTAGAAAATTATACGTGCAAGGAAAAATCAAACTTTCAGCCTTCACAACTACTATACCCTTGGAAGTTTGTTTCGGCGTTCCAGTTACCCATTTAAGAAACGCCTTGACATTTGAGAAACGTTTGGACTATATGGTCTCCCCACCCTTCTTCGCTCCCCCCCAATTTCTCTTCAGTGCTCAGTAAATGCTCGTTTGGGTCTAGTGGCTTCCTTCTCTCAGAGCATAGACTCGCTATATTTCCAGCAGCCCATTATAGCACGCACTCCCAGTCCCAACAGCCCATTCCACCATTGGCTCCTGTCAGTACCAACACCTGCAGATCCATCACTCACCCTCAATCCCGACATTTCCTGCGATTGTCGTCGCATGACCTGCCCTTCGATCTCCGCCACGCGTCGCATCGTCGCAACCTCAGCCGTCTGATCCACCTCGATCCGCGCGATGCGCTCCTCGTACGACGATACCGCCGCGGCCGTCGCGTCTTTGATCAGCCGCAGCCGCTCTGTCTCCCACTGCTTCCGCCGCGCCTCCAACTCCGAGTCGCCGGAAGGCCCGTCGCTCACATTCGCGTCGTCGCTGCCGTTCCTTGATTGGTCGACGACCGTTGCGACGCTCGCCTGCGGCTGCGCCTGGGGAGCTACGGCCTGGAGAATGGAGCGGGGCCTGAAAGATGACGACTGGAAACAAGAGAGGGGGAACGAGGGAGGGCGTTGGGGGAAGGGGAAAAAGAGGCGCGGAGGGAGGGACCGTACTAAAATTGTGTGTCATGTGCGGATGCCGATTTCTGCAGCACTTTCTACAGAGGATGCTGGTTGTGGATGGCGGGGAAAGGGCAAATAGGATGAGATTGCGAGGGAGTAAGGGGCAGCGGGAAAGAGTCAGGCCCTCATAACCACTAGAATGAAAATTGCGGACCGAGAGCTCTTCCGGGCAGGAGAGGCGGAATCCGGAGGAAGTTCAGAAAGCGAAGGGACGCCCACCTTTCGGTTGCATGATGGGAAGCGCGATGACGTGGCAAAAGCGCTAAAATGACCCAGCCTAGGCGGCAGGAGAGCACCCTGCGGTAGGCGTATCGCGGCCATGGGACCAGCAGTCTGTAGGCGAACATTGGTGCAGCCCGCCGAAGAGGGTGACGCCGCGATAGCAGCAGCAGACATAGGGTAAGGTGTACCGATTCCTGTGGCTGTCACGAATAGGATAATCGTAGCTGTAACTGGATGGTAGACTGGCGAGCTAGAGTCGTCTTGATTGTTGAGTGGTTCAGTTCTAGAGGCGTAAAGAGAACGGAGAGTGGCAACGCGCGGTGTGCTATCGAAGGGAGCAAAGAAAGGATGGTGCTCGACTGTCTTCCAGAAGGAAACACGAATGTGGCCAAATATCTTCGGAAAGGGGAACGGGAGAAGTTGGAAGCTTGGAAGTTGGAACTCGGAAGTCGGATTGGAATAAAGATGGCCTTCCTGGGCTGTCCAAACTTCGAACTTGGGACAGCGAAAAAGTGCACTTCGCACGTGCAAGAGATTGGGCAGGTGATGAGGTGGAGGGAGAACGAATCTGGACGTCGCAATTGTTCAGAGGTCCCCAACGTGTTAACACCCCACATGATCGGACGGTTGGGCCTGACCAACTAGAGTTGAGATGCGATCACAGATCGTAGATGGAGTCGTGCAGGATGTTTTGATCGCACACTGGAGGGTGGGTGAGAACGTGAAAGCAACGTGAAAACAACGTGAAAGCTGCCACGCTGGACCCAGATATTTGTACTTTTGGGGTCTGTCCTGTCCCAAGTTCGCAGGAAGGCGATCTAAGAAAACCTCCTCTTGGAGTGGCAATGGCAAAGGAGAACCCAATGTCATGCTGTCCAAACAAATCGCCTCTTTGGGTTTCCTAAAAGAAAACATTTTCACACGTGACCGTATGCGCGAGACAGTTTGATTGCTCGTTCCCCTTGTTGCAATAGTCGCAGAGTCGCACGCAACGCGACGCGAGGGAGCCTGTGCGATGCGAGGAAGGAGGTCGAATTTCTCCGACGAGTGATGTAAATACACGTGGACTTATCCAGTTTCCCAAAGCACATGAGCCGGTCGTACTCGATTCAGTAAAATGCGGTTCTCTGGCAAGATTTGAAATGAGCTGCAAATGCTGTTTATGCTATTTCAAAATACCCGTCACTCCCGACTGCCGCCGACCGACCCGATAACGTCGTCACGTTGGTACAGTATCGCTCCAATGACCTCGTCGCTTCGCTTGACGATGTGACGGTGCACAGTGCGCACTGTTGGCCCTCAGAATTCTCGCTCAGCCCTGGGCTGGGATGTTCCATACCAGCCCCTTTGGCCCCTCTTCCAACCAATCAGAAGTGTCCAACGCAATGACGTGTTCGGACGGAATCCTGAATGTAAGGTGAAAAGGAGAGCAAGGTCCTCCTTTCCGCATCACCACACCACCACACCACCACCACCATCAGGAAAGAAATTGATTCCTTCTGACGCGTGCTTTCCTGATGCGCGTCGCATGAGCTCGTATTATCAGGTTTGGGACGGATGGGTAGCGGTTTAATACGGTAATGTGCTTAAACCGCTTCTTTCTGCGCAGCACCGTACTTAACCGCGCGGAACAAAAGTGAACTTCTGTGACGCCCCTAACCCGCCTGTGTTCCATCTCCCTGACTTCGCCTGTATCTGTCTTCTGTTCCGTGAAGATATCCTGCCAAGAACAGAATAGAGATTCAGGCTTCTGATTCTTGCATGAAAATCTTTCAGGAAGCCTGACTGTTTTTTAGGCTTGAGCTACCGTCTAGAATGCTGGCGTAGGAGGAGGATTGCTGCACGAAGATATTAAAAGGGACATGTCATTTATTTTCACAACATGCTCGCAGCCTTCGCAGGCGATGCTACATTACTGAGGGCCATCTGAAGAGCCACCACCATGGCATTGTCTTAGCATCTCATCAGTGGAGAATCTTGGCGTATGCAGGTTTTTGCGCTTTTTAAAAGGTGATAAATAACTTCTTTCTGCGACATGGACAGTACCAGCTTACTTCCGTCAGAAAAGGTGGACATTTTGCTGGATGAGGAGAGAGTATCAGCCTGTCCAAAGACTGAACCAGAAGACGGTGCTGCTGGAGCAGGCAGTAACGTCGATACTAAGAAGCGTTTTAGCCGTGAAGACGCAGCAGACGGTCTGGAACATGAAACTGACCCGGTCAACGGTTTAAAGGCTAATGCAGACAAGTCAGACGCGCCAGGCTCCAAAGACGTCGTCGATTCAGTCAAGGAAAGGCCAAAGAAGCGGCGCAGGTCTCCAACGGTCCTTTCATATTCTCATTTTCATTTACGTGGTGTGCGACAACGTGCCTGGGGAAAATGGGCATCGGAGATTCGTGACACGGATAATATTCGCCTATGGCTCGGAACATTTACGACGGCTGAGGAAGCGGCTTTCGCTTACGACGCTGCTTCTCTAGCTATCCGTGGAGCAGACACCCGGCTTAACTTTGAAAGGAGTCGCATGTACGCATCGAACATGGCTGACATCAGGGAGCAATGCGGTGGAGTAGTTGGCCCGGCGTTTCGGACTGCTCTCGCGAAAGAAACGGCTCGGCTTATCGGCGAAGGAGCTCTTGACGGCATCGTCGCTGACTTTCCGAGATGTGCCCATCTTCTAAGGTCGATCAATGTCCCAGCGTCTGTCGCTACATCTGCAGTACCGGATCATATCTCAGAGCGTATCGATTTTTTGGCGGAAACGGCGGCACGGCGACGACAGACCCAGATGACTGCCAATATCCCGCGAATGAATTCGGTTCCTGCACCCGTTGAGACCAGGCCGATACTGTCATTGATTCACAGCAACAGGGCTCCGTCTGTGACCGGGATTAAGGCCGTACCAAAGCAGGCTAAGAAGGCGCAGCATTATATTTATTGTGAGTCAGATGGTGAAAATCCCCAGAGCGAGATTGACGCTCTCTTTGCTTTACGTCGCAGCAGCAAGAGTGCTGCTTGTAACTCACGTGATCATGTCTCAGGTCCCCATGGATTTGGCGACGACCATTGGTGGCAACCATCAAGGAGCGGCTGTGGAAATGTTCAGGAGAGTTCGGGAGCAGCCACTTTCAGCTTCAATGATGGTGCGAGCGGCGGTGCATTTGGAGGAAATGTCAGTGGTGGTGGTATGGACGACTGGAGCTCGTACATGGAAACAGATTCTTTCACTCCAGTTCCCACAACCGCAACTACCACAGTCACAGATTGTCTAACAGGTGAAGGGGGGAGCGCAAGTGCTACGGCACAGACTGATGCTGGGAAGAAGCTTTGTCGTTCAGGAAGCTGTACAGACATCGTCGACCATTTCTTGGCAGATGGAGACGAGTGCGAGGACCCTGTTGTGCTTCAGGGTAACCGACATAACCACCAGTTCTCAGGAGGCAACTCAACTCGCACTGTTGACTCGCAAGACAACTTCAATGCCGTTGCTCCCGTGGTCACTGCAGATGGTACCAATGCTGCTGCTCCTTCCAGTATTCCTTCTCCTTGTGCATTTTCTGACACAAGCAAAGGTCATGCAGGATATGATGATGCAGATGGGATCATTCCTGACCTGCACGGGCTGGCAGAGTTCCTGGAGGAGACCCCCATGTCTCCACTGCATCTAGCCTCAGGCAGTCCTGTTTCAACTGAGAGCAACCCAATCTTTGCCCAAAACCCAGCACCACTCAACCTTCCAGCTGCAGCGCTCTCAGCGCAACCATCGCGAGCAGCTTCTGAACTCCCCACAGCAGCTGTACAGTCATGTTCACGCCCTGTTGTGACAGCTGCCGAGCCACGTGCTCGTTTGCTCTCCTACCCAAACCTTCCTCGTATGTGCGCACCTCCCAGCCAATCACATCTGCCTCACCCTCTTGTCACTGTCAGGCAGGCACAGGCTCTCATGCTTCCATCACCTGCTGCTGCCCCGCCATCTCGCACTGAAGTGGGTGCACGCCTGCCTGAATCCACACCGCCTGCTATGCCTTTGCAGAGTTCCCTGATATTACCAGCCTCTGCTATTACCTGGGGCACTGCTGCTGGCGGATCCTCTGCTCCACGCATGACCTCATCAACTGTTGCTCCTGCATCTCAAGCTTTACCACCTCCCCCTGCATCTCTCCGCATGCAGCTTCCTCCTCCTCCTGCTCTGTTGCCTTCACATCAACCCCTCAGCACCACCCCTCCTGTCTCCGTTACCAGCAATCCGTGCCAGTGCTGCTGCCATTGTCACTTCAAGCAACAGCGACAGACACCTGCTCAGGGCACAGGCGTCTTGCTTCACGGTGGGGTCCCCGCCAACAGTATGCACAAGGTGCAGACTGTCGCGAGCACTAGCGTACAGGCTGCTTCTCCCCTGACCTCCGCAGCTCCCCTTACCTTTGCCGCTCTTCCTGCTTCAGCTGCTGCAGCGTCTGGAAGCCCTGCCAAGAGCGGCCACCACCTGTTGGTCATGCCTAAAGTGGGAGTTGCATGGAATCTGAAGTCATGTGACAAGCCACGACACCAGCAGCCTTTGGGTTCCAAGACATGGGAGCAACCACAGCTGAATCAGCAGCCAAACCAGCCAATGGCCCACCAGCATCAGCAGCTTCAGCGCCCTCAGCAGCCACAGGTGCAGCCACAGGCGCAGGGACGGCACCGGATGCTGCAGCTGCCACAAGGAAAGCCACAGCGTGCAATGCAGCAGGAGCTGAGGCCGCAGCAGCAGCGACAAGTGCCACTGCAGCAGGTGCAATTGCCGGCTGAGCAGGGCAATAAGGCGGAACGGAAGCAGCGACAGCAAGGCGTGGTTGGTGGTGCCTCTGGTGCTGCCATTCTGGGCGGCAGGTCCCCTCCTCTCCCACCTCCTCGTCCGCCTCCATCCAAGTACCCCACAGGGCCGCTACCAAAGCTCACGCCATTTCTTCTGTCAGCCATTGCCAACAGCAAGGCCAATGCTCCTGCAGTGTCCCTGGTGCAGCACAGTCCGGCGGCTCTACCAGCTGTGTCAAGCATGTCAGCGGCACTTCAGCCAGTAACGGTATCAGCACTTTCTGAGGTTGCAGCTGCTTCAACATTTCATCTGAATGCTGAAGCAGCAGGAATTCTCAAGCTCGAATCAGCACCAGCAGCATCAGCACTTGTAGGGCAAGCACCAGTTTCTGCACCTCAGGATGTCGCAACACCAGCACCTGTTCAGCATGCAACAGCACCAACACCTCTCAACCAGGCGCCAGTAGCACCTCCTAAGCAGGAAGAGGCATCAGCAGTATTGAAGCAGGCTGGAGCATCACCACTCGAGCAGGCAGCGGTATCTGCATCACTCAAGCAGGAACAGCTTCTGCATCACTGAGCCACCATGCAGAAACATCATTTCGTCACGTAAGTCATACACCCTTATTCCAAGCTGGACAGCAGCACACCCACCTACGGACCGTGCAGCGATCCCACCAGCAGTTTCACCAGAGTGGCACTTCAGGTTCACATCAGTCTAATCACGCTTCTCAGTAGTCAGATAAGACGTGTTTCGGCAGCACCCGCAGATGAGTAATCGCATATCTCTCTAACCAAAGCGGTAGGAAGCAAAGGGATGTCCATTGTTTTGGCCAATTTACCTAGTCGTTCTTCGTAGGCAGCCTGTGTAGTGGGAGACGGTATTATTGCTTTACTTTTGATCACAATCTAACATTTTTTTTACTATGTAGAACTAAATCCCAGCAGTCCCATTGTCCACCTCACTTTATAAAGAGGCCCACAAAAGAATGCCTAACCTGGAAAACGAACGTCATGTTCAAACCGCTGTCAGACCCTCCAGTGCCACGATTGGTTGTGAGGCTCAAATCGACTGCCATGCCTTTTCTCCACCCTTTTCCTCTCATGCAATGTCAGTCATCCCTGACTCCCCCCTTCATTTCCCTGATCACCTGCTCCCTGAAACCAGTTCCCTGTGCGATTGAACACATCTCCCATTCCACGCAGATGTGTGAAATCCCAAATGTTCGCAGAAATGTCCAGCTAGGAACGAGTCAGTGCCAGAAGGATCCGTGACTTTCCAGAGCAGGATTCGAGGTTATTTATGACAGCGAGCTAGACGAGTGCTGTCGACGGAGGTGTTTATAAGGAATGCGGGTAAATTCTCACGCTACGCTGCTAACTTATTGTCGATAACCATTGTAACGACACTTCTGGTTTGCAGGAACGAATTTGAATATGGACAGCCCGAATCAGCTGTCGAAAAAGCCTGACATATTTATGGTTAAAGCGACGCGGTTAGACCCAACAATACCTATTCATAATATGTCAGATGTCATCGTTTCTACGGCCGCTATTCCTCGGACTGAGAAGAGGACACGTGGAGAAGAACCAGTCGGTTGCAAAGAAGATGCAGTGGACGACGGTGCTAGGAGAAATGCAGATGCGTTACTAGAAGCTCCAGGCTCAACAGCTTTCGTTGGTTCTGCCGAGCATCAGGCAAAGAAACAACGGCCATCTGCAGGGGTACTACCCGATCATCAACGGTTCTTTAATGTGCGACGTCGGCAGGGAGGATGGGCATCAGAGGTTCGCGGCTGGAAATTTTCTTTTCGCATGTGTCTTGGAACTTTCACCACGCCTGAGGAAGCAGCTTTCGTTCGTGACATTGCTTCTCTGTCCATTAACGGAGCAAGAGCCCGACTGAACTTTGAATGGACCCGCAGATATGCGGCCAGAACAGCTGACATTGGGAAGCGATGCGTTGGCACGCTAAACCGGTTTCAAAAAATTGCTATTCTTGAAGAAATCATGCGCATATGCAAGAGCATAATGGCAGAACTTCCTCGCCTTCCGATGTCGTCCATTCATGTAAGAATGTCTAATGCTTCTACACCTGCAGGACACGGTACCTTCTCCATGCAGATATTGAACGTCGAATCTGTGCAGGGGCCAGGACAGGCGACACCGGGTACTTTTGGATCGACCCAAAGGCCATCATTCATTGCACCTGCAGAATTCGCCTGAAGTAGATGCTGCGAAAGGATTTGGGCAGGCAGCAATAGGTGTCACGACGACCCTAATGACAACCATTCCGGCAGGACGCCATACCATCTCCATGCAGAAATCGGCTGTCGATCCTGCAAGAGGATCCGGACAGGCAGCAATGGGTGCTTCAGACCCTGTTGAGACTCGGCCACGGGTGGATCATATCAACAACTGCAATGCTACATCATCCGTGACAGCAATCAATGCTGAGCCGCAGCTTCTCCAGGAGTCCCATCGTCTCAACCTCTGTGAGTGACTATATCAATCTCTGAACCCACCGTGAGTCATTTTGCAGCTTTTAATGCTTCACGTAGCAGCAGCAAGAGAGCGTTGCTTCTGACACAGTGCTAGGTCCTCCGGGATGCGACGTCAGTGACTGCTCGGGAAAGTTCAGCCAAGGTCCCGGAAATGGTGGCAGAAGTTCTAAGAAAAACAATTGTCTTGGCACGGGAATTGCATTACTGTTGCACCTTGCAACATCATCAGCCCCAGCAACCGCAGCAGCAGAAGCACCATCAGCAGCAGCAGAGAGTGCAAATGCGCCTGCTGACAGGGCAGGAGCAACAGAAGAGCCATATCCATGCACAACCGTACCTGAAGAGACGCATCTGCCTGCATCTCCTCCTGTCAGGCGTCATGTGGCTCGTCATCGCATCAGCGTCACACATGCATCATCCTCCACGCTCCCATCATTTCCTCGTACTCACCCATCTCGCAATGCTGCAAATGCAGCTTCGGCCACGTCCATACCTGCTGAGCTTCCAAAGTGTTCGCTGATTCCAGTCTCTGATTCTATTGCTGGAGAAGCATTTGCTGAATATACTTGTGCTAAAGACACATCTGCTGGAGGCACATCTGCTGGAGGCAGATCTGCTGGAGGCGCATCTGCTGGCAGTATGTCTGCTTCGGCCAGAGCTCCTTCCCTGGCTCCGCCCCTCCCAATGTCGCTGCAGCCGCCTAGCCCAACCATCATCTCATCAGCCTTCGCTCCTGCAACTCCATCTTCACCGCGTTCCTCCCCGCTAACCCCATCCGCCGTTTCAAACGCTCCTGCTTCACCTCCTGTGCCGTTCGCACTCTCACCTCCTCCTCTTGGCTCCACTCCCTTGGCTCTTCTTCCTGCCTCCACTCCCCTGTACCCATGTCAGTGCAGTCGCCACTGTCGCTCCAGGCAGCAGCAGCAGTTGCAGCAGCAGCAGCAGCAGCAGCAGCAGCAGCAGCAGCAGCAGCAGCAGCAGCAGCAGCAGGCAGCACCAACTGCAAATGGTACCGGCTACTCTCTGCAGGCCAACGCACCTGGCACCTGCGTGAATGGGAACCAGAATGGCACCAGTCTCAACAGTTCTGTTCTGACCTTTGAGGCTGCCAGGGTCAGTGGCAGCCACGCACCAGCTATTCCGCCAGCTCTACCTGCTACGGCACCTGCCAGAGCCCCTGCCACCAAATGTTTCTTCCCTGAACCTGCTACACAGTGTGTTGGCCCTCCTACAGTGCCGCTGCCATCTCTGCTCGCGAAATCGCCATCCCGTTTCTCTGCTGGAGCCTGCATAAGTGCTGCTGGCGCTGTTTTTCCACAAACTGCAGGTGGGCCAGCTTCACCTGCTGCCACGTCTTCACCAGTTGGTCTGATGGTAAACAACTGCTCTCAAGTGGTGAGCATTGAAGGGAGCGTTTGGGGGCTCAAGCCAAGGAACGTGACGCAGATCCGGCAGCCGCTTTTGGGTTCCCAGACCCAGGAGCAACCGCAGCAGCAGTCATCGCAGTCAAGGCAACCAATGGCCAGTCAACTGCAGCAGCTGCCACTTCCTTCATCTCTTCCCAAGAAGCACCAGGCACAGGGGTCAACACAGCGAGCACCACTCCATTGCTTGCAACTGCAGCAGGGAAACCAGCAAAGGGAGAATGCATTGCTTCATCGTAAGGCGAGCAGCAGCACAAGCACCTATGGGCAGCAGAGACAATGCAGTGATCGCACTAGCAGTATCACCACCAAGGATGCACCTCAGGTCCGCATTAGTAATGACACTTCTCACTAGTCAGAGGGCTCCACTGTTTGAAGGTATTTTAAGGATTACGACCTTTCTCGACAGCATTTCCAGCATTGTGGCCAGAGATTCCCCTGAATAAAGTGCTAGTGAGCAAAGGGATGTTCACCGTGCTGGTTAATGTTACTAGTCATTTTCTGGGCAGCTTGTGTAAGGAGATGGTGTAACACTAAACTAAGAATCACAATCTAACATAATTTTGCTCACTTCAAAACTACTTTCAACAGTCCTGTTGCCCACTTAATTTGTATGGGGAATGGTATTCTTACAAATGTAGAAGCCCTCAAAATAATGTATATTTCTGATTATGTGATGTCCCAAAACTGACGCAGATGTCCCAGCAGTGACGTGGACTGACTGCTGTCGGACTCTCCCCCAGTTTCCCCTGACTCCCCCTGATCCCATGAACCTGCTCCCTGAACCTGCTCCCCGTGTCACTGAACACATTTCCCATGTGAAATTCCATTTACTGCAGGAATGCCAGCTAGGAACTCAGTGCTAGGAGGATTTATGACTTCGCAGAGCAGGATCACAGAGGATATTATTTATTACAGCGAGCTAGACGGGTGCTGTCGACGGAGCTGTTCATAAGGAATGCAGGTAATTTCTGACGCTACGCTGCTAACTTATCGTCGACTGCCATTGTAACGACACTTCTGGTGTGCAGAAACGGAAGTGAATATGGACAGCCCGAATCAGCTGTCGAAAAAGCTTGACATTGAAGCGACGCGGTTAGACCCAACAATACCTAATCAAAATTTGTCAGATACCGTTGTTTCTACGGCCACTACTCCTCGGACTGAGAAGAGGTCACGTGGAGAAGAAGCAGCTGGTTGCGAAGAAGATGCAGTGGATGACGGTCCCAGGAGAAATGCAGATGCGCTAGAAGCTGCAGGCTCAACAACTTTCGTTGGTTTGGCCAAGAATCAAGCAAAGAAACAACGGCGATCCGCAGAAGTACCCGATCATCAACGGTTCATAGGTGTGCGACGTCGGCCATGGGGACCATGGGCATCAGAGCTTCGCGCCTTGAATGCACCTTTCCGCATGTGGCTTGGAACCTTCACCACACCCGAGGAAGCAGCGTTCGTTCGTGACATCGCTTCCCTGGCCATTCACGGAGCAAAAACCCGACTGAATTTTGGATGGACCCGCAGATACGCGGCCAGAACGGCTGACATTGGGAAACGATGTGCTGGCACGCTTAACCGGGTTCAAAGAATTGCTATCCATGAAGAAATTATGCTTGTTTGCAAGAGCATAATGGCAGAACTTCCTAGGCTTCCGATGTCAGCGATTCATGCCAAAATGTCTAATGCTACTACACCTGCAGGACACGGTACCATCTCCCTGCAGAGATCTGCTGTCGCTCCTGCAAGAGGACCCACACAAGCAGCAAAGGGTGCTTCGGCGACCCTAAAGACGATGGTCCCTGCAGAACCTGTTGAAACTCGGCCATTGGTGGATCATTTCAAAATCTGCGAGGTTCCATCATCAGTGACCGCAACCAATGTTGAGCCACAACTGTTCCAGGAGTCCCGTCGTCTCAACCCCTGTGAGTGCTTATAATGAATTCACCGCTCTTTTTTTTTCAGCTTTCATTGCTTCACGTAGCACTGGCAAGAGTGCATTGCGTCTGACTCACGTGACACAGCGCTAGGTCCACCGGGATGCAACAACAAGGACTGCTCGGAAAAGGTCAGCCAAGGTTTCGGAAACGGCAGAAGTTCCAAAAGAAACAATCGTCTTCGCACGGGAATAGCTTCACTTTTACTCCTTGCCACATCATCAGCCCCAGCCCCAGCAGCAGCAGCAGCAGCAGCAGCAGCAGCAGCAGCAGCAGCAGAGAGTGCACATGCACGTGCTGACAGGGCAGGAGCAACAGAAGAGCCATGTCCATGCACAACCGTACCTGAAAAGACGCATCTGCCTGCGTCTCCTCCTGTCAGGCATCACGTGGCTCGTCATCGCATCAGCATCACACGTGCATCATCTTCCACCCTCCCATCATTCCCTCGTACTCACGCGTCTTGCAATTCTGCAAATGCAGCTTCACCCTCGTTCATACCTGCTGAACTTCCAAAGTCTTCACTGATTCCAGTATCTGGTTCTTCTGTTGGAGAAGCATTTGCTGAGTGCACTTCGGCTAAAGGCACATCTGCTGGCAGTATGTCTGCTTCAGCCAGAGCTCCTTCCCTGGCTCCGCCCCTCTCACTGTCACAGCAGTCTCCTAGCCCAACCATCATCTCATCAACTTTTGCCCTTGGAACTGCAACCTCACTGCATTCTTCCCCTCTAATCCCATCCCCTCGATCACGTGCTCCTGCTTCAGCTTCTGTGCCATTCCCACTCTCACCACCTCCTCTTTGCTCCACTCACTTGGCTCCTCGTCCTTCCTCCATTCCCCCGTACCCATGTCAGTGCTGTCGCCACTGTCAACCCAGGCAGCAGCAGCAGCAAAAGCAGCAGCAGCAGCAGCAGCAGCAGCAGCAGCAGCAGGCAGCACCAACCGCAAATGGTACCGGCTATCCACTGCAGGCCGACGCGCCTGTTACCTGCACGAACAAGAACCAGAATGGCACCAGTCTCAGCACCTGTGTTCTGGCCAGCAATGCTGCCAGGGCCAGTGGCTGCCACGCACCAGCTATTCCGCCAGATCTACCTGCTACGGCACCTGCCAGAGCTCCTGCCGCCAAATTGCTATCTCCTGAAGCGGTTACACAGCGTACTAGCCATCCTACAGCGCTGCTGCCATCCCTGCTCACGAGATTGCCACCCTGTTTCTCTGCTGGAGCGAGCATGAATGCTGCTGGCGCTGTATTTCCACGCACTACAAGTGGGGCACCTTCAGCTGCTGTCGCACCTTCACCAGCTCGTCCAAAGGGAAACAACACCTCTCCATTGGTGAGCATTGAAGGGAGCGTCTGGAGGCTCAAGCCAAGTGGCACAACACAGTTCCAGCAGCAGGTTTTGGGTTCGCAGACGCAGAAGCAACCGCAGCAGCAGTCAATGCAGTCGAGGCAGTCATGGCAACCAATGGCTCGTCAGCTGCAGCAGCTGCCATTTGCTTCGTCTCTTCCCAGGAAGCACCAGGCACAGGGGTCGATGCAGCAAGCACCACTCTATCGCTTGCGACTGGAGCAGGAAAACCAGCAACAAGAGGACTGGCAGCAGGATGTAGTTGGCGGGGCAGCAGGAGCTGCCATTCTCGGTGGTGCACCCTATCCCGCCCCTCCTCCTCTGCTTTCGTCGCCCACGCTCCCACAAGCCCATGCTACCTCTGGACCCAATGCATTGCTTGGTGGCTCTTTTGATGTAACAAGGCCGCTACCAAAACTCATGCCGCTTCTCTTGTCAGCCATTGCCAATGGTAAGGCCAGTGCTCCTTGCCAATGATAAGGCTGTTTCAGCTGGCCTTGCTGCAGCACCAGCATCTGTTGAACAGAAAGTGGCCTCACTACAACCACCTCCTCAGCACACAGCCGGTTCTACTCGTTTAACATGTTAAATACGGGAACACTTTATGTGATGGAGACAGCCTGCGCGCATCACCACCACTCGAGCGGCAGTGGTATCTGCATCACTCAAGCAGGAGTGACTTACATCACTGAGCTAGCACGCAAGAACATCGAGTCGTCATGAAACTCATACACTCTTATTCTAAGGTGGAGAGCAGCACAACCACCTAAGGGCAGCACGTACAATGCAGTGATCCCACCAGCAGTATCACCAGGCTGGCACCTTGGGTTCACATCAGTCTAATAACGCTTCCAAATAGTCAGATACCGTAAGACCTGTTTCGGCAGCACCCGCAGATGAGAAGTCGCATAATTCTCTGACCAAAGCGGTAGGAAGCAAAGGGATGTCCACTGTGCTGGCCAATGTACCCAGTCGTTCTTAGTAGGCAGCCTGTGTAGTGGGAGGAGGTGTTAACGCTATGCTCCGGATCACAATCTAACATTATTTGGCCCTGTAAAGCTAATCCCAGCAGTCCCATAGTCCATTTCAGATTTATCACGGAGAATGTATTATAAAGCATATAAGCCCACGAAACAATGTCTACAATTGAAAAACGAACTGCGATGTCCCAAGGGTGACGTGGACAGACTGCTGTCAGACTCCCCAGAGCCACGACTGGTGGCGAAGTTCAAACTGAATGACATATTCCGCGACACATTCTCCCTTCTGTCAGTCATCCCTGCCTTTCCCTGCACCTCCTCCATGAGGCCTGCCTGCTGTGTCATTGAAGACATCTCGCATTACACCCAAATGCGAAATTCCAAATTTCTGCAGGAATGTCCAGCTAGCAGGAACTCAGTGATAGGAGGATTTATGACTTCGCAGAGCAGGATCACGAAGGAGGTTATTTGAGACAAGGAGCTAGTCGAGTGCTGTCGACGGAGCTGTTCGCAAGGAATGCAGGTTAGTATTTTTCACGCTGCGCTGCTTAGTTATCGTCGATTACCATTGTAACGATTCTTCTGGTGTGCAGAATCGGAAGTGAACATGGACAGCCGGAATCAGCTGTTGTCGGAAAAGCTTGACATATTTATGGTTGAAACGACGCGGTCAGACCGAACAATACCTATTCATAATATGTCAGATACTGTTGTTTCTACGGCCACTACTCCTCGGACTGAGAAGAGGTCACGTGGAGAAGACGCAGCCAGTTGCGAAGAAGATGCAGTGGACGACGGTCCCAGGAGAAATGCAGACGCGTTAGAAGCTCCTTTCTCAACAGCTTATGTTGGTTCTGCCAAGACCCAGGCAAGGGCAAAGAAACAACGGCCATTAGCAGGGGTAGTACCCGATCGTCTGCGGTTGCTTGGTGTGCGACGTCGGCAGGGAGGATGGGCATCAGAGCTTCGCGACTTGAATAAACCTTTTCGCATGTGGCTTGGAACCTTCCCGACGCCAGAAGAAGCAGCGTTCGTCCATGACATCGCTTCTCTGGCCATTCTCGGCGCTAGAGCCCGACTGAACTTTGAATG